AGGGAAAGCCACCCTGGGTGGACACGAGCCAAGTGCCTTACTGTGTCACTGCTGGGAGTGAGCGTCCCCATCTCAGATCTCTTCCCCAGGGGACCTGAGCTGTTTGAGCAAATAGTACTTGGGCATACTCAGACTTTTTAGTGGTTTTATATCTACGGTGTCGCGTGCAGTCCCCCTGGCAGGGTTGTGGGAAATAGCAACCTGTGCCACTCCATGCCTCTGGTTATTAACCTGACGAGGGCCAGAGAGTGTGTGGGAGCTAGGGGACCAGGCCACGAGACACCGCCATCAGTGCCACCGGGGTTTTGTACCCTCTTCAGATGAAGTTAGCAAAACAAGTATTAACACTGGAGATTGTTTCAGGCCCTGTAGCTTTGACTGTAAGGTTGGCATCGTGTGCTTCAGAGTAACTGAACAGGCTGTTCTTGAGATGCAGTTCCAGGAAATGGAGGCCCTGGTAGGATAGCTCTTACTGTCCCACAGTGAGCCCTGGCCCTGACCAGGTCCTTTGGAGATGGCCTTGTATCCAGTAGCAGGTGTCCACGTGGCAGCTGTGGACCGCCCACCACTTACCCATTCGGTTAGAGACGAGGTGTTGCTGTGTGAAGGTTCGTCCCCAGGGAGCTATGCCACGTGAGCTTGTAGCCCCTGAGCTAGAGAGGCAGGCAGGCATCACCCACGGGGTCTCTCACCCCACCTGACTGTCACCAAGGACTCGCTGGTGCAGGGACATGAGGTGCACAGGCTGTACCACTTCCTGTTCACCCTTCCCACAGTAGCCCAAGGCCCTTCCAGTCAGTGTCATCAAGACTAGCCTGTCCTGGCGCCATTGCTCAAGACAGACCCCATGGCCACTCTGAGGTTCGAGGGTGGGCCAGGTGTCCAGGAGCACGTGTGTGTCTGTAACTGTCTACACACACGTGTGCTCACCTCCTCTTAGGGAGTTTTCCTGGAAGTGGTCAGGAGCCTCAGCCGGGCCCTGGCGAGAACCAGCTGGCCCGGGCCGCCTCTCGGCGCACACAGCCTCCAAGGACAGGCTCCGTGCCGACAGCCCAGTAATGGAAGGTTAGTCTACTTGAGAGGAACTGTGGAAAAGGAAAGGAGCGGAATGAGAAGGACCGCTCTTTGTGTTTTCGGTGACTTCACAGTGAAGTCCAAGCCGGAGCCGAGCCCTCTAGAAGATATGCTGCAACCATTATCTTGTTCTTTCTTTATCATGCATTTGAAGACACATGAGCAGGTGGCGTTGTGTAGACGCGGACCTTGTAAGGTGAAGTGTCATCGGAGGTTTCCACTGCGCAACATCTTAGTGATCTGTTAGTTCTTCGTGCTGTCTCTCTCAGAGTTGAATGGATACAGTTTCCGTAATTGTTGTGTCTGTTGTGCATATTCGATTTTTATAAAGATAAAGACGGTAGTAAGTCAATACACTTACCCTGACCTGTGTATCATTTGTTCACGAATCCAAGAAGCCTGGAGGCAGTGACCACCAGTCTGACCTGGTCAGGGAGCTCGCAGGGGACCGTGTGGAGCCCAGCCCTCTCCCTCCTCTGCGCTGTCCTGTCTGGTTGTGCTGTAACGGGAGCTCACCTCGCCGCTCACGCACATCCCGAGTCCCTTGGGCTGGTGCGGCCGTGAAGTCCTCATACTGATGCTCTTGCGAAGGGCAGGCTGCATCGCCTTTTCCAAAATAAAACCTGAGGGCCCCTGCTGCTAGGCACCCACACCCTTGCCTGGCTGGAGGAGGGCAGAGGGGTGGAGTGGGTGTAGGTCCAGTTTGCGTGTCTGCTCGTGCGGGTCGTTCTGAACGTACCTTGTGACATCCCGGACGGCGATGGTTGCAGCTTGGTTCTACAGTGTTCTGAATTGTCATGGAGCTGGGACTCTGCACCCAGGGCACTTTTTTTCCAAACAGCATTTTGCTAAATTCTGCAAACTGAAGGCTATTACAGAAGCAGTCTGGGAAGGCTCAGAGTGAAGGGGAGGGTGGGATGGACAGGGGTGAGGAGAGTCTGCAGAAGGGGGCCAGGGGCGCAGAGCGGTATAGCAATACGCTTTCTTCCCACCGCAGGCCGGACGGGAGGAAGGGGAGCTGGCAGGTCAGGCTGAGAGCTGTGGGGTTGGGCCGGGGGGCCGTGGCTCTCGGTCGCGGGCGGCGCCTTCTCTGCTGCCAGGCGAGGTAGGTTAGACAGGCTAGATGGAAGACACCGACCCTGGAGGCTTCCAGGGTGGTTTCCAGAACCCTCTTTCTCTCTTTTGACTTGCAGTTTGTTTTGTTCCGTCACTCGGTTTTTATTCTCTGCTGTCTCCCTGGGAAGGTAAGCTCAGTGCACTGACAGGGCCCGGACAGACCGTTGTTAGAGGCCAGCACGGGATCCTGGCAGTGGCGGCGCTCTCTGTGTCTCTGCGGCCTCCCTCCGGGGCCTCTCCCTAGAGGGGGGCCCAGTGGGCCTCCCCATCACAGGTGCTGCTCTCCAGTTCTGCTTCCCCTGCGCTTTTAGTCCGGATTTGCTTTTCCTGCTTGGGGCCGTACCCCACACTTTACTTGTGGTGGTGGTGGTTTGTTTTCATTGGGAGGAGTAGGTGAGAAGAGAGAAGGTTGAAAGGAATCGTTGGTTGTTTGACAAGTTTCTGTGGAGGGCGGAGGACGAAGGTAGTTTCCCCAAGACCGCCGGCAAGTTTAGATGGAGCAGGGCCAGTTTAGCTGCTTCCCTGTGTTTAAGGAGCATTTCCCTTGACCTTTTCAAGGAGTTTTGACATTTGCTAGCGAAGTGTTACTTGGACATTCCTAAATAGGAACTCTCCAAAGGCGCCCAGCCTTGACTTAATAGTAAATCCTAAGGATTTTATGTAAGGTTCTGTAACCTATTTTAGCTTTCCCAGTTAACACACCTGCCTCCCGGGGCCCATGAGCCCTGGCCTTGCAAGTTTCTGTGGAGGGTGGAGGACGAAGGTAGTTTCCCCAAGACCGCCGGCAAGTTTAGATGGAGCAGGGCCAGTTTAGCTGCTTCCCTGTGTTTAAGGAGCATTTCCCTTGACCTTTTCAAGGAGTTTTGACATTTGCTAGCGAAGTGTTACTTGGACATTCCTAAATAGGAACTCTCCAAAGGCGCCCAGCCTTGACTTAATAGTAAATCCTAAGGATTTTATGTAAGGTTCTGTAACCTATTTTAGCTTTCCCAGTTAACACACCTGCCTCCCGGGGCCCATGAGCCCTGGCCTTGGCCAGAGCCCCGGCAGACTCGCTGATCCATGTTGGATCCCAGGTACCCCTGACGGCCCGTTGCTGGGGACATTGTGACCTGCCGTTCCTGCGAGCATTCAGGTGCCGCACCTCCTTCTGTGTTCAGGTAGGGGATTGTCCCGAAGGCGGGCGGAGTGGCACAGCTTCGTGGCACGGTCGCCAAGCATGCACTTCCTCCGCCGACGGCCAGCCGACTGAACCAGAACGAGGTTCGTGCGCTGGCACTGGCTTGGTTCATCTGACTGAAAACCCCGGCCCTCTAAGAGGGCGCCTGGAGCGGTCTCACTTTAGTGTGTCCACAGAGTGGACGGTCAGTAGGGGCTTCTCGGTGTCCTCCGGACGTCGTGCTGCAGCGTCCCTCACGCTCCCTGAGCTCAGGCTTCTTCTAGACTGGTTTCCGGTTAAGGACACACGTAGTCACAGCGCATCTTAAAGGACTGTGGAAGGGGACGCATGTCGCAGCGCTCCCTCAGAGCCTGCGGTGTGCTTGGGTAGGGTGCCACGTGGCACTTGTGCCCTGTCGGCTAGGGGCAGGCGGCTGCTTGTTTCATAACCCCCTTTGCTTCCCACAGGCGCGGGCCCAGGACGTGCCTGCCTGGCGCAGTCCCGGCTCTCTGCTCTAACGCTCCGTTTGGTTTCCAGGTGCAGCAGCGGCAGCAGGTTTGCCGTTCTAAGCCGGTTCCCAGCATTTGTGCTCTGTCCCTGCCCCTGTCGTCCTAGTGACGGGGCCGTGTCAGGGCGCCAGGTGGGCGTGCCCTGGCCTACCCTCTGCTTTGCCTTTCTGGCTGAGACCCCCAGCTCTCTCCTGCCTCCCATCTCCCTAGTCCATGTCGTCCCCCTCACCTGGGACTCCTCCCTGATCCTCTGCAGCCTCCCATTCAGTGTAGACGCCCACTGTGGTGGGAGGGGGAGGTTCTGAGTGCTGTGCCCCGTGCTGACCCGTCACCTCTAACCCTTTCCTCCGACAGGTCTCACTGTGCAGTCTGTCCCTCCAGGTCATCGATCGTTGAGAGTGACGTCCTCGTTCTGTTATTTTGCAGTTTGACCCTGTAGGCCTGCAGCGACCCAAGATGCCAGCGCCTGGCAGCGTGGCTGGCGTGCAGCTCTCCGCCCTGCCCTCCCTCTCCTTTTGCAGGACTCTCTTGCATGCTCAGTGTTAGTGGTAGCGGGCCTCACCCCGCGCCACAGGGGCCACCGCCCGGTGGCTGCCGCTCTGGCTGGCTGTGATCCTTCCTAACCTTGGCCGAGTGTGGAGGGCGCTCTGGTGGAGTGTGAAGGCGGTGTTGGAGGGAGTGCGTTGGAGTATAGAAGGCAAGAGGGGACTGCAGCACGGTCCTCTGGGTGTGACCCACTTTGTGCTTTCTGCCAAACACGCTGCTCTTCCGTTGGTGGGAGGCGATGTTGCCCTGCCTCACTGTTTCCACCTTGCGCTGACCGTGCTGGTGACCTTTCCAGGAGTGTATGTGAAGAATAGTAGTGACATAGGTGGAAAGAAAATGTATTGTCGTGTGTACCATGTGTGTAATCCCATGCTGACCCCTGTGTTGGAACTGTATTGTAATTTGAAACGTGTTAATAAAATTTTGAACTGTACCCTGGGTCTGCAGCCTTCAGTTTTGCTCGCTACTGAACTGTCCACGCCGCCCCTGATCCCTGCCCACGAGGACTGAGGATGAGGGGTGGTGTCTTCTCAAAGGGGGCATCCCTCTGCAGCACCCTGGACCACGGCGCCGGCCTGGGGAGCAGCCTTGGGCCGAGCTAAGTGCTGGTCTCGCCTTGTCCTGTGCACTGTGCATCTGTGACAGCCCACCAGGTGATGCTAGCAGATGGGTTAGGTTTTGTTGCTGATGAGCGAGCCAGTTACAGTGTTTCTATAAGTTTGTTAAAGCATTACAAATAAGTTTTACAGTTTGTTAAAAGAAATTAAAAAGCAAAAAAGTCTGCACGCTGAGCTACGACTGCAGCCAGAGAGCAGGAGCTTGCTTTCTGTGCTTTTCCTCCAGTCTTAGAGCTACACAAGGAATCTGTGGGGCTTTTCCTGCAGAGCCGCACACAGGCCAGGAGCAGCCCCCCAGGAGAGGGAGGTTCATCCTGACGAGCACGTGGACACCACGGCACAGAGCAGGGCTGTCGGTACCCACCAGCCAGCTTCAGCACGCCACTGTGGGTGCTGCCCTCACAGTGCATCCTGCCAGCTGGCGAGGTGGGGAGATGGCTCAGCAGCTCAGGAGCAGCCGCTGCTCCTGGGGGCTCACACCCACCCTCCCTCACACAGGCACGTAGCTCAGCCAGTTGCAGAGTTACGATGCGAGACGCCAGCGTCAGTCTGACCCGGGGCCGGGGCCCAGGTGTGACGTGTCAGCTGTGCCCTCCTCTCAGCGCCTCGTGTTGTGGGGAGAGGCCTCCTGCCTCTCCCAGCCTGTGCGTGCTTCGGCCTCTCCCTCCCGTGCTGTCGTGCCTGCTGCCATGAGCGGCCTTCCTCCTTGCCGGGACCTGGCTATGTGTCCTGGGCCCTTTGGCAGATCCAAGTATGGCGGGGCACGGTCCGAACAGCTGCCTGGCTGGCACACCGGTCGGCCCCCTGCAGGCCTGTGATCTGGGCACTGCCGAGTACAGGGCCTCACCAGCCGGTTGTGTGGTGGCGACACTTGACCAGCAGCATTCCTGTGTCGTGTGGGGCCCAAGGGGCCAGCCCCAAGAGCCCTGCCCTGTCAGCCACCTCAGGACCCGGGCAGGTGGCTGGCATATTTCACCCTCAGATCCCAGCTTGGAGAACTGGACTGTAGAGCGGACACTGTCTGATTAGAGGAGCTGTGGCCATGTCACCGTTGGCCCAGGCCCTGCAGAGCTGTGCTGCTCAGCTAAGGCCCAGCTTGGCCACGCCCTGCTCTGCTCTGCCCCTGCCCAGGAAGCTCATGGCTCAGTGACAGCAAGGCTCCCGTGGGGTAGGAAGGCGCAGACAGGACTTGCGGTGGCTGTTCTGTTGGTGCCGTGTTTCCACGTGTCAGAACTGGGCACTGAGGAGAGCCTCGAGAGAGCATGCCAGGTCCCGGCAGCAGGTGGCCTAGGGGTGGGAGCATGTGGCCTGTGCCATCATGGCCCTTAGACTAGGCGGAGAGGACATGGCTTTGAGTCTGGGTGGCCTGTGAAGTTGAGGAAGAGAGGAGCTTTGAGAGCCACTTACGGGATGAGGTTTTTTTAGAGAGCGTTTTTGCAATACTGAGAGAGAGAGAGAGAGAGAGAAAGCATCCCCCAAGGGAATGGCTATATCACAGTTCCTTCTCTATTCTTCCCTGGGGATTTTGGCACACTTGCACATGTGCCTGGTGTGTTTCAAGCCACCGGGGCCAGGGCTTGAACCGCAGTCGGCCATGTGGGAATTCAGCGCCTTACCCATCATGCCCCTACTGGCCCCAGTACGGAGTGAGCTCGTAACCCAGCCTGAACATTTGCACCCTCAGATGCCTGCCCAGGCCCTGAAATTTGACACTGGAGAAATACTTTGTCACCACTAAAAGGCGCGGACAGGACTTGCGGTGGCTGTTCTGTTGGTGCCGTGTTTCCACGTGTCAGAACTGGGCACTGAGGAGAGCCTCGAGAGAGCATGCCAGGTCCCGGCAGCAGGTGGCCTAGGGGTGGGAGCATGTGGCCTGTGCCATCATGGCCCTTAGACTAGGCGGAGAGGACATGGCTTTGAGTCTGGGTGGCCTGTGAAGTTGAGGAAGAGAGGAGCTTTGAGAGCCACTTACGGGATGAGGTTTTTTTAGAGAGATTTTTTGCAATACTGAGAGAGAGAGAGAGAGAGAGAAAGCATCCCCCAAGGGAATGGCCATATCACAGTTCCTTCTCTATTCTTCCCTGGGGATTTTGGCACACTTGCACATGTGCCTGGTGTGTTTCAAGCCACCGGGGCCAGGGCTTGAACCGCAGTCGGCCATGTGGGAATTCAGCGCCTTACCCATCATGCCCCTACTGGCCCCAGTACGGAGTGAGCTCGTAACCCAGCCTGAACATTTGCACCCTCAGATGCCTGCCCAGGCCCTGAAATTTGACACTGGAGAAATACTTTGTCACCACTAAGAGCCCCTTTGGTGTCAGTAGTATGCTGCCACTTGCCTCGTGCAGCCACACCTTCCAGGGAGTGCTCCTGACTGGCCGCGTTCTCCGGCCTCTTGCAGGCTCACAGAAGACAGCCGGTCTTAGTTCAGAGGTGGTGCCTTCCAAAAGGTAGGTGCTAGCTCAACTCAGAGCCACTGGTAAGGACCATCCCAACGGTGTCGCTGGGAGCTCCCCGAAATTCTCTCCCATTACCGTCTCTGAGTTAATCAAATGAAAGTGCGTATTTAACAGAATTAGTAAATTAGAATTATGGTTCTTGGGAATACAAATAAAATACACGAACTAATAGCTAACTAGGAAAGAAGGGGAAAGGGCATAAATGCAGGGGGTGGAAAACTCGATGCCAGGGGCTTGTGTAGAGTGCAGTTACATGCACACAGCCCTGCCCGCACTGCTCCAGTTTCAGTGTTGCAGTTCTCTGTGTGTGAAGAGGGTCACACTGCTCTGCACCTGTTGCTATCACCTGTTCCAGAATCGTCTTTGTCTTGCAGAACTGAAAACTATGTGTGGATTTCAAACTTGTTCTGTACTAATATAAACTTATATTGTAATTCCATTTTCCCATGAACTCTTTAAAATCCTATACCAAGAAGCTTTTTTTGCCTTTTGAGACTGGACTTTTTTAATTAAAGTTGTGTGGAAAAACAAGTATGTAATAGTAGCCAGAAAACTGAGTGGAAAGGGGGAGCCAGTGGGGGTCCAGGCTTAGCTATGCTGAAACATAATACCAAGGCCTCGAACTGCCGCACGCCGTGGGAAGGTGAGCACAGCCACTGTCACAACAGGAAGTGGAAAGGGGCCCAGCGACATGGAAACTACTATGTGGTGCAGATGGTGTCGCCAATCCCTAGGGCAAAAAGGAACTGCCCACACGTGTCAGGACAGCGCTGTTGCCACTCGGTGAACTAGAAACGGACCCATTTCTTAGAACACACAATAAACTGCCGATCGGAGCTCTAAAGGCAAAGGACCTACCAGTGCCGAAGAGATGACGGGAGGGCTTTCTAACTGCCTTGGCATCCAAATTGAAGGGGTGATTTGCAAATTTAGCTATGTAAAAAAGATTTTCTGTGGCAAAAACAGCACAAACATCATAAGCAAAGTCAAAACACAAAGGACAAATTGTGAAAAGAAAAAATACTTCCAACGTCTGCTGCAGACAGCCAAGCCCCCGTGTCGGCTCCGTGTATGAGGTGCAGGGCGAGCCAGCTCCCACTTGGCCGATGGGGCTTCCCATCCCAGCCTGGGGTCTCAAGCTGGGTGAGCATGGGCACATTCCCAGGAGCCCGGCAGGATGGGGAATGGGAGGACGAAGGACTGAGACTTGACTGGGCCCCGTTAGGGGCAGGGGCTTTGTCTCTGTGTTGTGTATGTGCACACACCCTTCAGCACTGAAGAAAGGAACTAATATCCCCAATAATGAAGAACTTTAAACATGTGAAAATAAGTCTAATAATGGGCAAAGTGCATGAACAATCAGGCGTGAAAAGAGCTCTGAACACGGTCACGTTACGTGACGTCCTGCAGTGGGCTGTGTATAGCGGTCGGCGGTGGCGGCAGGACGTGTAGCTGGGTGCACACACGGTAAGCCACATCATCCAGGTTTGCGGAAGATCATGCGACTACGGAGTCACAGCGACACTCAGAATGTACCCCTGTCGCTAAGTGATGCTTGACTATGTTTTAAGTTTACTCATGGTAGGAGCAGTACACTTAGATGCCCTTTTTGACCATCGGGTTTGTAAAAGGAACAATACGTGGTGACACATTTTCGGCAAGTCTGTTGTAAACAGTCATGGGATCGTGCAAGATGGTGTGGCTTCTGGAGGCGAGGAGAGAGCTGGGCAAAATCTAACCAAGCCACTTATCCTCCCACCAGTCATTTCACTTCCAGGATTTAGCCCAGAGCAGTTCTCCAAGAGAACAAGAATTCTTCCTTACGAAGTTGTTCATTGCACTGTTATGTGTAAAGCCACCCAGACGCTGAAATGCAGGAGGCTGGTGCACCGACTGTGGTACACACATGATGGATACTCTGCAGGCGTGTAAAAGAGTGAGGCAGGCCTGTGCGCCCTGGTCTGATGTCATTTCCAAGATATGCTGTGAAGTGAACAAAAGCAAAGTGCAAATGAAGCCAGTCCAGATTAATGTAGACTAAAGAGAGGACACTGCAGGCAATAAATAATTACGACTAGAGAAAAAAAAGACTTGAAAGAGCATTACTGGGACGATCAGCAGAACTGGAGTGGAGACTAAATAGCCATTGTATCAATATGAAGTTCCTTTAGTCTGATAACTACACTGTGATTATATAACGACTCTTATCATTAAAAAATCTGTGTGTGCTGTCACTGCTTCAACTGACAACACAGCATAAGTGACCGCATGGAATTTCTGAGTGGTTTCCATGGCTCTGTCATTCTGTTGGTAAGGGAGGGCATTTCCCTAGAGTATGGGGATGGATGAATGCATGA